TTTTGTGTGCGGCCGCACTTAAGGGGTTTTACAGGTTCGATAGTCTGTCTTAAGAAGCTTATATCTTTCAATCCACAACGAATTTGAAGATGCATCAAAATTGAAAGTTGTAGCCCTTTGAATCTAGTTTCCAGAAAGGTATAGCATTAATCATTTGGATATTCGTACAGAAAATTATGCATATTTTATTGAAGCCTGCTAAGCTGTCACAGTGAAGTGCAGCCGCACTCAAAATTGTGCGGCTGCAGAACTTAAAAATGTGTGGCAGCACTTAAATATGTGCGGACCACACATTGGGAAATCAGAATTGTGTACTATGTAACCGAGGGTTTGGATATTATTTAACATTTTAGACTTTGAGAGCTCGGTTTGTGACGATTTTTCATGGTTTTTCAAGAAATTCATTGGGGGTAAGTGTTCCTTATTCTATATTGATTATATTCCATGATTTCATACTCATTTACATCATGAATCCGTGAATTTATGGAAGAAAAATCAGATTTTTATAAAATCTTCCAAAAATATAAAATTAAGATTTGAAGGTCAATCCGATGTCGGAATTCGATAATTTTTGTATGGTTTAACTCGTATCGGAACGGGTGTTCGGATTTCGTGAGTTTTTTCGGGATTCGAGATGTGGGTCCCACTATTTATTTTTTTAGATGAATTTCGGTTTTTAATCCGATTTTTTTTAATTGCATACGAAATTAATTCCTACGATTTGTATTGAGTAGATTGAATTGTTTATGACTAGATTTTAGGATTTCGGACACGAATTTGGGAGGAAAAGGTTTATTGGAATCTTAAATTTGGTTGCAAGCGAGGTAAGTGTCGTGGTTAACCTTGACTTGAGGGAGTAGGATTTATTTGTCTATTTGCTACGTGATTCAATGTGCGGGTACAACGTATATGTGAGGTGACGGGTACTTATGCATTATGGTTGAGTCAAAGCATGCCGGAGGAATTTATTTTATTTTGAATAATTGCTTATTTAATTAAGATATTCATGCTTAAAATTATTATTGATTATTTGATCATTATTCATGAAATATTTATTGATTTAATTATTGTTGAATATGGTGAGAAAGAGTGTAAAAGTACGAAGGGTGATGCTGTGCTATTTTTATTATTTATACTATCATTGTCATGGTGAGAAAGAGTGTAAAAGTACGAAGGGTGATGCTGTGCTATTTTTATTATTTATACTATCATTGTCATGGTGAGAAAGAGTGTAAAAGTACGAAGGGTGTTGCCGTGTCATTTTTGAGTGTAAAAGCACGAAAGGTGATACCGTGCCATTTTTAGAGAGTGTAAAAGCACGAAGGGTGATGCCGTTCCAAAAGAGAGTAAAAGCAAGAAGGGTGATGTCGTGCCTATTATTATTATTATCATTATTATTATTATTATTTATTTATTTATCAGTTTATGGGAGGAATGAGAGTAAAAGCACGAAGAGTGGTGCCGTGCCATTTTTATATTATCAGTTGCTCATTTATTGTTGAGGAATTAATAGGCTGCTAAGTGATAATTCTCCTGCTGAAATTATTATATCAGCCCTTTTCGCATGTTCCCTCCCAAATTTATAAAGTGTTATTTATTATTTTATTGTTGCTTCGTATTTCTATACATGTTGTTTACGTACGTGTCCTGTCATAACCTCGTCACTACTTTGTCGAGATTAGGCTCGACACTTACGGAGTACATGGGGTCGGTTGTACTCATACTACACTCTGCACTTCTTGTATAAATTTTGGAGTTGGTCCCAGCGGCGTACCATAGACGTGCTCAGATTCAGCTACTCAGAGGAGACTTGAGGTATAACTGCACAACGTTCACAGTTCTGAAGTCCCCTTCTATCTTTTCTTTGCTGTGTATTATCTTTCAAACAACTTGAATTTTATTCATACCTTTATTTGTATTATTCTAGTAGCTCGTGCACTTGTGACACCAGATTCGGAGATGTATTGTGATGATTCGGTAGTTATGGTCTTCCGCACTTTATTTCAATAATTGACTTCTGTTTATCTTAATTTGCTTTAAAATGGTTAAGATTATTTTAACGTTGGCTTGCCTAGCAAGTGAAATGTTAGGCGCTATCACGGTCCTGAATGTGAGAATTTCGGGTCGTGACAATTTTGGAGTCATGGAACTGCTTGGTGCTCTCCCTAGTTGAGAACCAAATCTTATAAAATTATTTTAGTAGCTTGAACTAGAAAGTAGCGCTAAACCAAAGCAATAGAGACGCTAACGATAGACAACACCTAAACTAGACAAGTTGAATGTCTGAATATTCAAATTTGATACAAATTTGATACACCTACAACAACATATAAACTAAAAATATATTTTATACAGCTAATTATATAGTATACAACTTATTGATAAATTATCTACTACTTTCATACACTATTTTTACCCAGTTAAATATAATTATAATATCATACAACTTAAATATAATTTTTATACAAAAATTATACAATGTCTTTTGTATGTATTTTGTATATGATTTGTGTATATTTTGTATGTGGTGTGTTCTTCTTCCTCTCTGAAATTTCAATCAAAACTTCCTATGTTAATACAATTTTGATACATATCAACAACTTTGTTTAAAGACAGTATTTATAACTTAAATACAAATTTCATACAAAGATTCAAACATTATACAATTGCTTTTCAACTTTAAATACAATACTCAAATAAAAAAAAAATATAACTACAATAGAATACAACTTAAATACAATTTACATACAAGTATAATATAACTTTAATATAATTTTATATTTATATGTCATGTGTTCTTTCTTCTTTTTCTTCTTCTTCTTCTTCTTCTTCTTCTTCTTCTTCTTCTTCTTCTTCTTTTTCGAGTTTCAATTTGAAATCCAGCCAAAATCAACTCTAATCTTCACCAAACCCCCTCAAAATTGAGATATAAACTTCAAACAATATTCCTAATTGTTTGCAACAACACCCAATCCAAAAATATTTTTTTGTGAAAACCCGAATTCGAATGCAAGGTTTTGAAGTTTTTTAATGGCTGTTAATGGTGGAGAGTCAAACCTATTCAAAATTTATTGATTGACAATTTCAATTCAAACATCAATTGTGCAACAGGAAAGAAAATTAAAACTCTATAGTAAAACGATTGAAATCCATTGATGAATTCCGTTAAAATTCTATACAACATGAAAGGATAAAAAACAGAGAACATCGAAGGAGAGAGAGAGAGAGAGAGAGAGAGAGAGAGAGAGCAGCTATTAAGGGATGGGGATTCCCTATTCAATTCCTAATATAAAAGGATACTCATTAATATTAATTTATATATAATTAGTAAATTGTATATCAACTTGTAATTAAGTTAAAACATAAAGAATGAGGGTAAATAAGTTTCTAATGCAGTACATATAACTAAAATCTCATTTTTTGTTATCCATTTGTAATTGGGCCACTGGATCAACGGAGACCACAGTGCAAGTAATATTTACTGGCCCATTCTGAACCTTACATCATTTTCTCTTTTTCCATTTTTTTTTGGGGTGGCGAAGAGGGGGATTAAATGAATAGGAGAAGAGACTTTTCGGTGATATCTAATAATCTCAAAGAAATTGTTTCCAAATATAATTCTTTCCAACATTTTTACCCCTCTTAGTGTTGGGTGGGGAAAGTATGAAATAATCTAGTTGTTTTACATTTTTATATTTTATGAGCCTTGTAACTTATTCTTCATGATGAGCTTTTCCAAGTTTATCCAACGTAACGTTAGTCATTTGATTCAGTCTATGTCTATCACTCACGACAGAACTGAGTACTAACTGTTGGATAACCAATAGAATTTGGGGGAAAAAAGCTTTTTCGTTGGTGAAAGTAAACGGTCGAAATTGCTATTTAAAGTAATGCTCGTCCTATCATTTTCTACTGATTATCAAATACCGTAGTGAAGAAATAAGAAACACCGGTACTACCTCTAAAAGCTTATAAAGTGTCCAGGGGAAAAGCGCCAATAAACAATTGTAAATTTGTTCAGAAAATTTCGAAATCAATATGTTAGAATGATTTTTTTATTTTTTATTTACAAACAAAAGCGCAATGACAGCAATAATAGCATCCAGAGGTCATAATATTCATGAGAGTTGCATATAATAGACAAAAAAGAAGAGAAAGGTGTTGCGATTTGAGTCTTGACTTTGGTGGAAGAGGAGACAAAATGTGAAAAACCATTTGGAAACACAATATTTGGGAATCTCCCATGCCATCCTCGTGTAGTCTCAGACTATTATTAGCACAAAAACTTAGAACTTAGA